TTTTGGTTGCACAGATGAGTTAGAGTGAATGTATAAAGTTTGAGTGAACGCTATATGGCAAGTGGTTTACCACTCACACAAATGCTCGGATTTAAAGCGTTTTGATTAATTTAAGAAAAACTTTGATTTGGCTTTGCACAGATAAAGCAAACAAAAGCGTTTGTATAAATTTCTAATGAATGATATACGTTGAGCTAATGGCCACTCATACAAATGCTTGCCTTTCAAGAGTGTCAAGAACGCGTAATCCGTTGTTAAATATTTCCCTATGACTTAAGTTGCTAAACGCGATCCCACGGAACAAGGCACAACCACTGTCGCATCGCCCTCCAAGCAAATATTTTGAGTGCAAATCTTAAACACTTAATTTGTGACTTGATAGTGAATTAATACACGCTGAAATATGCAACTTAAGAAAGGCACGTCAAGCCTTATAACCGCCTCAATTTATTTAAAATTGCGTGCTCAAAATGTCGTGCTCTCTTTCTAAATAAGGTTGGAAATATAAAGATGTGCCAGATGTCAAGATTACTCGCTGCCATAATACTTGGAAAAGTGAGATCAAGCGATTTAACAAGAACGTGAGAAAGTAACGCACCAACATGCCCTTATTTCCGTCAGTGAGTAGATATATGTCACGTTTTAGCAGTATATTACTTACGTTTATCGTTTAACATTGTTAACTCCCATTAAACCTGCTACCAGTACAATTTCCTTTTTGTTCATAATGCACACATTTAGGGTGACAGCATGTAGCATTTTATTTCCTACCTAAAGTTTTTGTAAGTCAACTGCTAAAACCACTTCATTGCTCTTTGCTAACGCCTGCGTGCAGTAATTTGCCATAACCGAACTCTCGTCATTTAAATAACTTGGCTGAATTGTTAAGTCTTCGTAATTTCTCAATGAATTGGCTTATTAGCACTACTTTACCATATCAGATTCAGTAATTGTGCAAAGAGGCTTTACTCGTAAGCGATCCCTTGAACTTTACAACAAATGTTATTCCTTGATGACATTGACTGTGAGACCCACCAAACGCTTGAAAATTATCAAACGGATTCAGAAAAGTGGATAGTGGTTCTCAGGGGTTGGCCAAAATGAGAGGTGGGCAGAGAGTGTGGATACGGAGAGTGTACTGTGCGTATGACGGACATTGTGGTTATGAATAAGGACAGTTATATCAATCGTATGAGGATAGTTGAGAGGGTCGATGCTCACAGCATTCAACTATCCATTTTTGCCACCTCTAAAATATCTATTCCAACTTGTTATCTTGGTGAGGCCATCATAAGGTAGTTGTAGGGGTTCATCATTAACTCCGTTGGCACGGATGAAGACAAACAATCACGTAAAAACTTGAATTAAAATCATTTTAACAATGGCTGTTACAGACATGGATGACGGACATCGCGTGTCCCGGAATGAGGCCCATTTAGGTGGAAACGAAAACAATCAAAACTAACTCATTGAAAGGCGACACTTTTGCTGGTTTAGTGCTTGCTACAGGACATCTGCCATAGGCAACATGTTGGCGAAATAAAATGCATTTTTAAACCAAATGTCATGCAGTCTGGCAAACTAGTTATTTAGCAATTATTAACATTTTGATTCGTCTTTTTTCAACTACTTAAGATATGCTTACTTTCACTTTGCCCAAATGCACGGAAACCTTGCCACTGCCTCACTTTGAGATGTGCAAGTTTGCTGGATATAATAAAGGGCTTATATAGGCAGTGATGCTTGTTGAATTATTCTGCATTACATTGTTTTATGGAAAATTCCACAGTCTGCATTAGACCTATCGTGAGACAATGGTAATTACATACACCCCAGCATATGTTCATATGTATTTGTTAAAATTTAACGTACCTGACTGGTTATATTGACTAAGAGATGGAAAATTTGACAAACATCCTTTTTTTCAACGTTCATCAATTTGACTGCAAATAATGAATTTTGAACATACAAAAAGGGGGTAAGGTATAATGTTTTGCGCGATTTTGTGAAACAGCTATAATTTGAAGTAATATCTGGCCTAAAAAGTGCATGCATGAATGTGGGCCACGTAAGGGCTTGGCTGTGCTACATTCCTCACTCCAAAGTATCTGCATCTCTAAAACACGATCCAGAGATGAACTTTTTGTACACAAATGCATTTCTGTAAGGATAGATTAGTAAAAATTGCAATAATGCATTTTCAGGTTTGCCGTGACTACTGGCGGCTAAAGCTGTGTAGCACGGATATCCCGACTAATTATTAAGTGGTTGTTAGTAACATATTAAGGACTGTTTACTTATCACTCGTAAATTCAATAATTAATTTAAGTTGTGGCGAATGGTTGAATAAGCGCTTACTTGTCACGTGTTTCGTAATAATACTCAGGCCAGCATAAACTCATAGCCAATGATGCTAAATTTTTTTTATGACGTATTTATTTGACAAAGTGGGGGCATTGTAAAAACGTCATGTTTTTATTAGAACCTATTTGGATAAGCATGCAGCCTTCAGGTTTGCGATTTTCAGCGATTCCCGACAAATAAAGCGTTGAGACCGCTGGGAGAGGTCACGTAATCGATATTTAGAGATAAAATGCATTGTAGGAGCTGTAACTAATTGAAAGCGACTCTTAATAAAAATAGAAATCTTTACTAATTTTATGCTGTTTTAAGACAAGCATAAAGAGGAAATTTAGCATAGCAAATAGATTTCAAAATACCTTAAAAAATGATTTAGTTCTAACAAATAAAAGCGGTTGTAAAAATTTCCAATGAACGCAATGCCGCAAGTAATATAAGACTCACACATATGCTCAGCTTTCAAAAGTGTAAGGAACACATAATCCGCTGTTGAAAATTTTCGAATGACGTAGGACATATATCTATAAAACCGATCTCATGTATTAAGGTACAACCGTTGTCACATGGCCATGCAAGTAAAATTTTTGACAGAACCTTTCGACATGTAATTTGTGATTTGCTGGTGACTCAACAGACGCTGAGGTCTGTAACTACATACAATCACGTCAAGCTACATAACCGCATGACGTGCTTATAACTGGGTGCTCAAAATATCGTGCTATATTTCTAAGTAAGACTGGAAATAAAATAATAAAATAGAAGTGGTTAAAATGAAGATTGCCCACTACAACAGAATTTGGACAAGCGACATTAAACAAATCGCCTAGAACGTGAGAAGGCAACGCACCAACATGCCCTCATTTCTGACAGTGCGTTCAACCTACTGTTGTCAGGGTCGTAAATTCTACCATCTCGAATGCCAATAATTTACACATGGGTTGCATATTCTGTTTAAGACATGTTGTGGTATATTCCATCAAGGGAGGTCAATATTTGGTAACAATTCCGTTTTCTTATTTAAACTGTTTAGTGCACATTTGTGTTATGTGCTTCGATTTTTTACATTGTCACTACAATTAAGTTAATGCTTAATTAAAAGTCTTGTGGATAGTGCAAAAGGCAAAGCGACCTGCAGAGTTAGCACGATTAAAGGCTTGCAGAACGACATCAATGACATTAAAATGAGCAAATATTTAATTTGTAATAGGTCTTGACATTAAAATGTCCTCCGTATGCTCGAAATGCCATGCTTCTGTACTTCCGCGAAATGCAGAATCCGCTGGTATCATGGTTACATGCAAGCAGTTCCGCGCTAAAAGTATTCCAAGCTGAAGAATGGCCAATAGCGTTTGCTACAATTGCTCACTGACTGCAATGTCAATGAAAACATAGAATTATCCGACTGTCAAAACCTTTTACTGAAATGTTTTAACTTTCATCGCTTCAGTTACATTGGGAATTGCAAATTTTGTTGTGTTTGAATCTGAGCTGGTCATGCATTTTGACGTAACGTTGACAAAAATACTCTCTTAATGTCTTTCATACTTAAACTTCGTAAGTGCTTCGAAAAAGAAATAAGCAAAAGTAGACATAACATTGTTCGAAAATCGATTTAGCAGCCAACGGGAGAGCGATCTCATGGTATGTCTGTTACTGAAAATTGTCAATTTTTTTATTTCGGTCCGAGAAACACTGTTAAGTTTTCGCCCAAGCAAAATGTTTTCAGCCGTTCACAGTTTGCAAATTTAAACGATAGACCACAGTAGTAATAATATTGTTGAGGAATTTATGACACGTAAAATGAAACTGTCACTAGTGACCAATAATTTTAGCATGTCGACTTTATGCAATGCCGCTAACAGATATACCACAGCTTAAACATGTTGTCAATGCAAAATACATGAAAACAAAGACAGTCGTTTAAGTGACGTTCTGGTGTATGTATTTATGGTCACATTAAGTGCTCAAAAGTGCTAGATTCTATGAAGTAGCTTTTACGTCTTCGTACCACTAGATTTAAAAATGCTTACTGGTTACTTACACCACAGTGAAGGTCTGTATTTTGCAAGTGGCGTGATACGTGAACTTGACCCACTGATCAAGAACTAACACGCCATGAACTAGATGGCTGTTTATCGTAGGACCCAAGATAACACTTAACGTGCTACATCGGCCCTCCGTGGAATTTAATCAATCACAGGTCAATTATCTCATTTAACCCAATAAATACACCAGGTAAGCTCCTGCATTAAGCACGTAAAGGTTATCAATATGAGTCGGCTATACCTGTTCCACCCACCTGGAACTATGTGTTACAATGAGGGGATAGTTCATAGTACCAGTGAGTCCACGAAGTGACACAAGTGTACACTGGTATTTACACAACTGAATGTGTCAGAAATGCACTACATGACCTTTCTCGCTTTAGGTTGTGCATTTTATTATGTAAAATGACAACTCGGAATGGGACGCCATAATTAGCCAATTCAACGACTTAAGCCTAAGTGGTAATATTAGAAGTAACACCCTGTATTGTTGCAGCCGCTCTGAGCAAGGTTTGGGTAATATGTACAATATATTATATGACTGGACTGGCACTAAAAGGAGGCAAAAATGATCCAATATTTGTATTTGAAGAATTAGCAGACGGCATCAATGTACATTTTCAGCAAGTTCACATTGTCTGTGCGCGTGATGCCAGCCAAATGAACGGGAAAGGACATCCAGTCACCAAATGAAGGCCTACTGTTGCTAACATAAACATGGCCCTCCGAGTCGATTTTAACATCAGCTTGTAGCACAAATTGCGCCATCGCTAATGTTCCACGAAACTTGCGAGTCAGTCTTTGCCGTCCAGCCTCCATCTTTTGAATTGTTGTCTATAAAACATATAAGCCATTATCTGAAGAACTCTTGCATTTATGGAATTAATGATGTGTTTCCTACCAGATCTTGTAGTTATCTAAATTAAGCCTCATAAGGAGATTTTAAGAAACTAGTTAAGGTGCGTAGAGACAGTTATAAGCATTACTTGAACTTGCATAATTAATAAAGTCATTTATTTCACCACCCTACTTACGGGTACACAGTTGACGGACGTAAGTTCTATGTAATCAGTTCGCAATTTGAATGAGTAAAGTGTAGACGAATCAGAAGGTGAGTCCTTGTTGGATCGAGTAATTGTGATGTTCCACGGCGTGTTTTCATTGCCCACAGTCTGCAAGTAGAACCCTCCAGCATCACACGAATGCGCTGACAAGCAACGCTGCATCATGGTGCTCACATTGACAATCAACGCTTCGTCAGATGATCGCATCACTGTCGCTGATTCTGCAGCATTTTCTAGGTAGTAGATTGGCAATGATTCCTCAACGTCAGGTAGTCGAGTAAAAGAATTGTGGTATTTGCGATCTAGCAAAATATGCCTGCAACACAAACTGACCTGTTTTATTGAGGATATTTACAACAAAACGTAATACAACATAGAAGTAAACATGTTGGTCAGCTACAATTGCAGAAACGGGTGCATTACCTGGTATTTATGTTTAAGGAGTGTTAGTCATGGATCAGTCGGTCAAGTGCCAAACACGCAGAATGCTGGCCTTCATTCTATTATTAGTAGCCAGTAAGCGTTGTTAAATCAAGTGTTGCGAAAAAGGAAAAAGTCATTGTCATGTATTTTGATATTTCTTAGGACGTAATGAGGCAATAAATACATAATTTTGAGTGCCACTTCAGAGGCCTTCTTTGATTTCCCGGATTGTCTGATAAAAATGTCATTGGCCTGTAGTATATTGTCATGAACGACAACTTAAACTCAGCGTTACATGATATCAAAATACTTATTTGTCGCAGCATTAATGGCACAATAAAATAACGGATTGGGAATTTTTTAAGTTTCATAGGTTTTTACGTCCTCAACAATAGCATGCCTGTTATGTTGTATCGCTTAAAATAACACAGTGTTAATATAATAAGACGTTTTATCAGGTTTCAATGTTAACATTGATGCTTGAGGCTACAATTCAAAGAATTTAGGAGCTTCTAGTAACAACCACACCAAGAGCTCACTCAACCGTTGGCTTCTAAATCAAAAAAAATCTGCACGAAGCCTTGGTTTGCCCTACACAAACTTGGAGAGATGAGGCCTAGCGTCAGAGAAAGAATCTGGTCTATCGGTGATCTGAGCATGAGGTTTTTGGTTACGGGCGAAACGTGCTAATCCTTTTAGTTCATTTGATGTTACTTGCTGCTAAGGCTAAAGGCACAAAACACCTTTACAAATTCAACTCAGCTGTGAATGGATTTACCTTTAGTACCAAATGATTTTATAATTGAGACAAACACGTCTTGACCTGTGCTCAATCGACTGTTCTCTATTCCCTGCTAACTTGTGTGCAGATACCTGGACTCATTACATTGTGGGCTGACGGCGAAGTATTTGAAAGCTTTTAATGAAATTAAATGTCTGAGTTGTGCAGCAGTTATGTGTACGACATTGGGGCCATCTCCACAGAAAAGGGAACTCAAACGCATAAATTCCTACAAGAAACGAGGTTACCGTGTTTCAGACAAATCCGCTATATAGACAAGACGAAATGTTTACTGCAAGCAATAAATGGAGCTAACCATGTTTGTTCTAGTCAGCAATTCATCCAGCACTGCCTGTCACTTCAAAACATCAATATTAATGGTCCCACAGAACACAGTCAAGCAGACTGCATGTGAATACAAAGATGAAGAGCAAGGAGTTGGATATGTCTTGGATTCCATTCGATGTTTAGCAATCCATTGAGGTCAGCAGCATTTTGCGTTTACTTTAGCCTCATTTGTATGGACACTTTTCTATTGGGAATCGATTAAAGCATAATACCAAAACCAAGCCCGCCGATTAAGGCACAACTACTGTCGCTTGGCCTTATAAGCGAACAGTTTGACCAAACCAGTAGATATGTATTTTATGACTTGACGGTGATCAACTTCACGATGAAGCCTGTAACTTCAGAAAATCACGTCAAGCCACATAACCGCCCACATTTAATTCATATTGTGTACTTAAAATATAGTGGTCTGTTTCAAAATGAGGTTGGAAATTTGAAGATGCATTAGCAGTGGTAGATGTGATGAATGCTCACAACAATAGCCTTCTGCTTAGTGAGAATAAGCAAATCACCTAGAACGTGAGAAGGCAACGCACCAATATGCCCTCATTTCTGACAGTGAGTTCAATCTACTTTCGTTATTGTTCTAAATTGTACCATTTCTATTGCCAATTATTTACACATGGGTTACACATTCTGTTCAAAACATGTTGTGGTATATTCCACCATGGGAAGTCAATATTTGGCAACAATTCCATTTTCTCATTCAAAATGCTAAGTGCACACTTGAATATAAGTGCTTTGGTTTCTAGCAATGTCACGCCAGTTAATTTGAAGTCCAATTTCATTCAGCCACAACTTACCTTCAAAAGGGAAGTAAATGAGTCTGCAACAATCACATTTAATAAAGAGCAAATTTGAGATCTCTTCGAAAATTCACACGTCAATGTGACTTGCAAAGCCAGCAGGATTAAAGGCTTGTAGAACAACATCCATGGTTTTAAATGGAGCCAATATTTTATTCGTAATGAGACTTGATATAAAATTGTTTAGCACACTCTTGAAATGCCTTGCTTCTATATTTCTGTTACTTAGAGAATCGGGTTGTATCATGGTTAGTTGCACGCAGATTTGCGCGAAAAACATTTGAGGCCATAAAATGGTCGAAAGCGTTCGCATAAATATTCACTAACTGAAATGTAAATGAACACATGAATTTGTCAGATGGGTAATGATGGATTTGCACCTGTCATGCTTGTTAGAAGTAAATTATACGAGTTGTTCTTCTTGCTTTGTAGGTTAATTACCTTGACCACAAATATTTGAAAGTAAATTAGCATGATTTTGAAACTAGCATTGACATAAATGTGGATGAAGTGAGTCTGCAAACTAGTAACTAGTGTATAGAAGTAAGGCACTTCCTGCATGCTGACATAAAACTTTACCGTTGGTTTTCTTTGCCTGATCCCTACTTGATTAACATCCATCAACAGTGTCCTTGCATCCTACGTCACTACTACTCCGTTTTTAAAACGGCAGCGTCTGCTCACACACCCCTTTTCATTTACCTACACCACCTGCTACCTGTTTTATTCAATCGGCCGAAACCCCCATTAGTAGTGCACTAAGAAACAAGGCAACGTGGCTAAAACATTAAAATAACTGTTGATTGCTCACAATTTCTACCTGGATTGGCTCGTTGGCACTACAATGCAACATTGATGGAAAATTGTTCTAACTTAACACGCGGTTTCTCAACACAAGCCATCTACAAGTTAACATTGTCCTCTTCGTTAGTCTTAGTCCATGCCAACGGAGTTAATAATAAATCCCTACAACCAACTATGACGGACCCTCTAATTTGGCAAAATACCACGACAGATATTTCACAGGTGACAGAAATGGATAGTTGGATGCTGTGGACAGCTACCATCTCAACGTTCCCCATACAGTACAGTCCCTTCCTTATGCCCAAAAAACTCATGCGCACAGCACACTCTGTTTACCCACACTCTCTGCCCACCTCTCATTCTGGACCTACCCCTCATTTTGGTCCACCCCGGAGAGCCACCGTGCACTTTGCTGATACAATCCGATACACGGTCTACGATATCAGGAACGAATATTTGTCGTATAGTGTCGGGTATCCAGCACGAGTAACGCTTGACCACAGAATAATTGCTTCCAATGTTGTAATGTAGTGTCAACAAGCCAATACAGGTAGACATTGTGAGCACCTAAGAGTTAATTTCATGTTTCAGCAAAGTTGCTGAATTTTGTGGTGCACTACCAATGGGATTGTTGACCGAATAAATAGGGGAGGTGGAGGTTTGGGAGGTAAATGAACAAAGGTGTGTGAGCAAACGCTACCGTTGTAAAACTGGGGCCAGTAGTGACGTAGGATGCGGCAACACTTTTGATGGACGTGAATCAATTAGACACCAGTTGAATAAATGTAACGCTGGTTGTGTTTACATTAGTACTCCTTAAAGTCTTGTAAAAATGTTAACACTTAAGTGCTCATTTTTGTTACAGCTTAGGTGACTTATTCTCATCGCATTATTCTCAATGAATGAGTGCTTGAGGTGAAGTAATGTGCATGTCACTTTGGTCAATGTATTTATTAAATGTCGATGCCATTTTATAAAACCACTAAGCACTTGTAATCTTACCTTATTCCTCATTTGTATGCAGTGCCAATCATTACTACTAACCTAATCACGACCTACATCCTCTGGTGCATGCACCTGATTTAAATGCAATTCATCCTATTCCTTATTCAGTTATTGCTACCCAATTGACCGGTCTTTTCACATTCAAACTAGCTGTGTGATATTATTTGTTGTTCAACAGTGCACTCACGCAACCACGCAACCACTTCCACAGCAACAAATTGTAGAGCTCATATCAAGATTGCCTGGTATTGGCTGACGGATGGTGACTGAGTGGATGGGATCACATGCTGCATCCTAAATTACCACTGATCAGGAGACGTTTTCTTCATTTCTAACAGGTTGTTATTAGCATCTTGTCTTCCCATCCGTCCATTTATTGAAGCAACATTGTCGATTCCATTGTCTTGTTTCATGCATTGTAGAGCAAGATGCTGAGAGTCGGCTCAATCCTGGAGTTGACTTGGTTCTTCGTGGCAGCGGTTTCTGCAGACGCAGAGCGCAAACAAATCGTGGAATGTCACACAAAGCTGCGTGAGGACGTTCAGCCAACTGCAAGCAACATGCTATTGATGGTGCTTTCGTGCGTAACTTTTCCAAAGTCGAATTTTCCGTTGATAGACTGTTTATAGACTGTAAGTCGCCTATTCCAACAGGTAAAGTGTGTGCTCTTATCAAAGTCCTTTTATCGAATTTCACGAGTAGAGTTTAATTACAAAACCTGTGTTTTGTTGACATTCAGCGCACGAGTATTTGCTTAGTAGCTGCCACAAGTTTTGTTTTATATCCTTAATTTCTGTCTAATTAGAGCTATTCATCCGAAATAGAAAAAAAAACGGATGAATTTCTTGCCAGCTGTCTAGATTCATTTTCGAAGATGATAGGAATCCACAGTACAAGGATGTCGGTTACATTGTATCCTCTACGGAGACAGACAAACCACAATTTACAGTCGAAGTTTGCCAAGTAGACAAGCGTGACTGCGACTAGGACAAAAACACCTGCACTAACGGGTGCTATGAATATAAACAAGTACGTAAGCT